ATATATATATATATATATATATATATATATATATATATATATATATATATATATATATATATAGGTTTTCTTTCATGAATGATCATTTTGTACCATAAATTATATATAAATATTTCGTGAAATCTATCCGATTCTAGCAAAGCAAAGAAAAAAAAGTTTAAACGAGCTAACAGGCCACCTGTTACAGCAGGTGGCCCGTAGACTGCATTTATCCTTGATTAAGAATCAAAACGGTATTGCGTCGGCACCTCTTATTACTAAGATAGAATGCCACCTTTCAGTAAAAAGGATCTCCATCGTTATGGTGTACTACAGCCGATCCTTTCGCAAAATAACATAACAAAGAGCAGCTTGTTGGTGTGCTATGTGGTCAGTGAAGTAAACCGGAGACCCTTTTTACTGGTAAATAGGCATTATATTCTTAGTCCTCGAGGAGGTCCTTACCATCAGGTGGGCTGATTGGAAGCTTGACACTTTTTTGTAAAATGAAGTGACAAACGAACTTACCGTCCACCTGATGGTAAGTGGCTGCTGCAGTCCATGGACACCTGCAGTCGATTTCAAACATACAAGGATACATTATACGGCCTCTGAGGACTCTGAGGACTTAGATGTCTGTAATTATACTAACTTTTTATACCCGAAAGGAACACATCAGTGCACTCATTGCTATTTGGCGGAGGATGAGTAAGAGGGTGGTACATAACCAGACGCATGCCCAGGAAAAAAGAGTTACCACCTGATAAACTCCACACCCTTACTAAATAAAACAACTTAATTATAAAACAACAAGAATATCATATATGCCATATGATGAAAAAACTTATGGAGGCGTTGTCACCACACCGCAAACTGCAGACAAAATCACGCGATCATACAAAGTGATGGTCCGAGATCTCTATATTACCAGCGACTGCTAAAACGGAAGAAAAATACGTAAATGGATAAGTTACAACATTCCTCCCAGAATAGTGTACCAGCTCTAATTATTTTTTGGTTTCACGGTATCCGCCGCTGGGCACGAGGCGCCGCGCCGCGGCGGCAGAGGGAAACTAATACAGGAGTTGAGCAGCAGCGGCTTACTAATAACAACTCAAAATAATAACAATTGAGGTTGCCACACCGCCTGCCACGCGTGGCGACTGTGGCAAAACCCTTCCTATGGGGCAATCTATGGGAGAGTCCTGTGTTCAGCAGTGGACTTGCATTGGCTGTAATGGAAGCAAAGCACAGATGTCTTTCTGTCATATTAACGGTTTAGAATTTTGCTTATAGGGATGATATCGTGCTGAATACAGTTTTGAATGTTGTATCTCGGTTGCTAACAGTAACAGAAGTGTATTATTTATATATTATACGTAGTAGAGCCACGCTGTACCTATATTATGGTTGTAGAACAAATGTGTTGGCTCGACCGGGGAAGCACCACGCTCTCACAGAATACCAGCGTAAAATAAACAGCTTAATACTGCTGTTTTTCTTGTGATGAGCGTAGACATGCGGAGACCCTTTTACTGGAAACGAGGTATTTCATATTAATCCTCAGGGGTGACAACGATTTGCGTTTTGATTCGTAATCGAGGGTAGATGTTGATGTCTATGGACCACAGCAACCACTAATCATCAGGTGGATTGTGTGCTAGTTTCTCACCCTACCCTATGAAAAAAATAAAAACAGACCAACGGAGCAGTTGACAGGCTAGTGCACGTAAATCAGACAGGACAGGAGGTACATTTCAAACTATGTAAGATACGTTATTTTTATTTTTAACGCGGATCTTAACTACATCATTTCAATATCCTTAGTATAATGGATTTACGCAAATTAACGCCTTATCATATTAATTGAATAAATATACTTTTACTTGTTTTAGTACAACAGTTTAAGAGATTTTAAAATGATAAGAAATATTAATGAATTTTGGATTGTCTGTAATTAAGCAAAGAGTATATGTTTTAAAACTCTCTTTATCTACTTTCGACTTATTCACAGATGCATACATACATGGACGTGATAACATGAGACAATGTGCGTGCAGTGGCGGTGTAAGAATATTCACTACCACATGTCATCACATAGTTATCGTAAAAGGTGACGAGGGAAACAAACCAGTAGACGGGCAGCAGCGTATTCCTGATAACAACTATAAATAAAAATAAACTGTGGTTGTCAACCGGCCTGCCAAGCGTGGCAACTATGTTCAGCAGTAGACTTGTGATGGTCTGTGACAGTAACGTCATGTATGTTATTGTACAAAGCGAGAAAAATTAGAAGATCGGAATTGAAATAGAAAAAAAACACAATGTAATATATGTAAATTGCAATTTTGTATTCATTCCCTATGAATGAAAAAGTATTCTCCGAATCGCAAATTTAGACGAATGAAGCTTCTTTAGAGATTATCCCTACTCTGAAATATTTTTTTTTTGAAATTTTTTTACTTGTCATGTTAATTTTGCTTTCATAATATTCTAATTCCCGACGTACTGTATAACGGAGTCGGGGTTCTGTTTCCAGTTTTTTAAGATTAAAATATTTTATGAAGCTAAAGTTTACCATTATTATCACTTTACGAAAAACTTTTTATAGCCTATGTTATTTCCACTACTGGATGTAGGCCTCTTCAAAAATTTGTCAACTGACTTTTTTACATAAAAGTAAGAGTGACAAACTAGAAGAAAGATTGAAAAATACTGTTCTCATCCAAACAAGGTCAAGGTTGCTCAGCAAGCTATAATAAGCTCGAGGTCTCTCTGCACGATAGGCTTTAAAATAAGGAAATGTACGCTAGAACCAGAATAACCGATATATCCCAACGGAATTTATTGATATGGCAATGGATCGGCTTTTTTAAATTTCTTAATTGTGTAATCATATTAAATTAATTTAATTTATTTTTATTTATCTTTTTGGCATTTAATTACTTTTTGCTTGTTATGCTTAAATTTAAAATCTTATAAAATTTAAACATCATTAGAGAATCATTCTACATTCCATAAATACTTTTTATGTCATAATGAAATATTTTTCAAATCATAATGAAATACTTTTCATGTCAAAATAGATTATAATATAGTATTAAGCAATACGTAAACAAAAAAATATATATGTAAAGAAATTCTCAGTGACAGCCATGAGTCATTAAGTTGGCGGTGTTTCACCCCCGTGCCTCGGAAAGCATGTAAAGCCGTCGGTCCTGCACCTAATCCTTTTCTGGTGTTTTTTTTATTAAAGAATAAAGGTGACAAACAAGCACATAGTCTATCTGATCTATCCTCATTAAATAATCAAAATGCAGATGCGTTGTTACCAAGGGATCAAGATGAAATGCCTCATAGATATAACTTTGGAAAAAAACACTGGTTCATTTATAAGAGAAATATAGATTCCAATCTACCGATATTTCTAAAGTACTTATCCCAAATTGGATTCAGAGAAGTTTATGAGGAAAAGGATGTAAACTTGGCATATAAATCATTCTTTAATATATTTAACTTGATCTTTACCCTAAGTTTTCCCCTTAAGAGGATTAAAATTACACAAAAAAATAAACTTAATTGGCTTACGAAAGGAATAAAAATATCTAGTAAAAACAAAAGAAAATTATATCTAAAAACGTTGAAAAATAAATATTTTGCTAAGACAAGTAGATATAGGGAATATTGTAGAATAATGAAAGCGGTAATAGTTGAATCGAAAAGGAGGTCTAATATAAAATATATACAATCTAGTGTTAATAAAACAAAAGCTACATGGAACTTGATAAAAAATAACACCAATTCAATAGAAAACACCATAAAAAATATAAAAGTTAATGGGTTGGTAGTCAGTGAGCCAAATGAAATGGTACAAATTTTTAATAACTTATTTATTACACGTAATTACCAAAATACTAATGTTGGATCTTATAAAACTTTAAATAACTCATTTAATTGCAACAGTATTTTCTTATCACCGATCAATATAAATGATGTCAGTAAAATAGTTAAACAAATGAAACCGAAAAAATCTTTTGGCTACGATCATATATCAATGTATTTAATTAAACAATCTTTAAAGCATATTTCAGAACCAATAATTTATATCATAAATCTAATGTTAGAAACGGGTACATTTCCAAATGACCTAAAAATTGCTCTTATAAAACCTGTTTACAAAAAAAGGACCGAAGCAAGACCCCAATAATTACAGACCCATAGCACTACTACCAAGCTTTTCCAAAATCTTTGAAAAAGTTATTTATAATAAAGTCATGAATTTTATTAATGTAAATAAAATTTTAAATCCTAATCAATATGGATTTCAAAAAAGGTAAAAACACGTCATTAGCTATATTTAAAATAATGAAACATATTTGGGATGACATAAACGAAAAAAATCCATGTTTTGCCCTTTTCTTAGATATGACAAAAGCATTTGATTGTGTTAATCATGAAATTTTACTGAAACAATTGGAAAACATTGGCATTCGCGGAATTGCTCTAAAATTGTTTAAATCGTACCTAGAAGATCGATATCAGGCAACTATTTTGGATACGTATAATAGTAATACTACAACTATTGAAACAATTAAGTCAAAATTTAAAAAAGTCAACATTGGTGTACCTCAAGGAAGTATACTCGGTCCTTCTTTGTTTTTATTATACATCAACGAGATATTTAAAATCACCAAGCATTTAACAATAATGTTTGCTGATGATGCTACAGTCTTTTATACTAGTAAGCTAATAAATAGTTCAGAACTTGAAAGTCAAATTAATAAGTCCATAAAAGACATAGTGTCCTGGTTAAAATCTGTAAACCTAACAATTAATGTAACTAAAACTAAAATTCTCCAAATTAGAAATTACAAGACCGAACCAATCCATTTAAAAATATCATTCGATGGCTCAGTCATAGAGGAAGTAGATAATATAAACTTTCTTGGAGTTAAAATTGACTCTCATCTAAATTGGAAATCACACATAGAAAAGATTAACAAAAAGATATCGAGTTATTGCTATGTTCTTTCAATACTTTCTTGGTCAACCTCTGAATCTGTTACTAGAAATGCGTACTATGGTTATATTTATCCATTGTTAATCTATGGTATAATTTTTTGGGGTAATTCAACCAACATAAATGAAACGTTTATACTACAGAAACGATGTTTACGCATCATATACCGTAAAACAAATAGAGACAGCCTGAGGAATTTATTTAAAGAAAAACGTTTTTTAACTTTAACTGGAATATATATCTTAGAGTTGTGCCTATTTATTAGAAATAATTGCGATTTATTCGAAACGAAACTTTCGGAACGGCAAAATTTACGCCCTTGCTACGTAAACAATTTATATCTACCTCAAATTAAAAATAAATTGTTTGACAAAAGTGCATACATAACAGCAATTAAAGTATTTAATCACTTACCCAATAGTATTAAAGCAATAAAAGGACCCAAATTCAAACATAATTTAAAAAACTGGTTGGTGGAACATACGTTTTATACGCTAAATGAATTCTATAATTTTAAGAGTTAATATCGTGTTCTTTGTTATAATAATATCTATAAGCATTTTTTTAATATTTTATCTTAGAAGTTAATTGTAAATCTATCATCTGTTAAATGTAAATTGCAAAAAATGTAATCTGTTAAATGTAAATAGTATATATATTATGTTTATGAAAATTGTAAATCTATTGCACGCCTGATGAGGCAACTGTTGATACCTATAATATTATGTCATCTTCAACTTGTACACAGTAATGCAATAAATGAATTATTATTATTATTATGGGGTATCTATATAGTTTTCTCATCTGGTTGGGTTCTATAAATATATAACTATAAATGAAAATGAAAAAATAAATATACATAAATATCAATAACATAAAATAAATATAAAAGTACATAAATAAATAAAAGCCCAACCAGATGGAGGCCCTCGGCAGGGGAGACCAAACGGCCGAGGGTTAGGGGGGAAAGGGAAAGAAACCGGCGGACGATACGGGCGGTATCGAGGAGCACCGCTTTCTGCATTTGAACCTGGAGCGGTCCGCCACGTAGTCCCAGCCGCCTCAGATGACCCGAGAGGCTGACTGGGATTAGCCCGTTTGCAGAGACGACTACAGGAATAATTTCGGTCGGCAGACCACCCCACATGTCGGTCACCTCGTGAGCCAGGTCCAGATATTTTGTTTGCTTGTCTGTTTCGGCTTTCACGAGGTTCTCGTCATACGGAATGGTAATGTCGACCAAAAATATCCTTGACTGTGCCCGGTCCATCAGCACAATATCAGGCTTATTCGCAAGAATAGTCCTGTCTGTGATGATAGCCCGGTCCCAATAGAGCCTGGCGCGATCATTTTCGAGCACGGCTTTCGGCAAGTATTTGTAGTACGGCAATTTCCGGTCCACGAGACCGTATTTCAGAGCGAGCTCCTGGTGTAGAATTCTGGCTACTAGGTTGTGCCTGTGCAAGTACTCAGAGTTAGAAAGCGCCGAACAACCGGAGATAACATGCCTAAGTGACTCACCGGGATGGCGACAAGCTCGACAGATGTCGACGGTGCCATCCTTTAGGATGTATCTCCGATAGTTGTTGGTCTTAATAACCTGATCCTGTATTGCACAGACAAAACCCTCGGTTTCCCCGAAGAGGTCACCGAAACGTAGCCAGTGGAGGGAGGCTACTGTGTCTACGAAAGGCTCATGTAGAGCCTTGTAGAACCTCCCGTGGAGCTCCTTCTCCTTCCATACGGTCTCTCGGTCGGAAATGCTCTGCACTGCCGGGTCTTGCCATTGCTCGTTGGCTAAGGATAGAGGGTAAGGGTAGGGGAGGTAAGTCCTTTATCACAAGAAATGACGTCCATATAGAATGGATCATCCGATCTCGCCAGGAAGTACTGACGGAGACTGCACACTTCGCGATTATGCATGGTGAGCGCGCTCAGAAAGCCACGCCCACCATACATTCGCGGCAAGTACAGCCTCATTACCGACGATCTCGGATGATGCATCCTATGGGACGTCATGGTAGTGCGGACTTTTCTATCCAGGGCGTTAAGCTCAGTCTGAGTCCACCTGAGTATGCCAAAGGTATACATGAGGACAGGCATGACCCAGCCGTTATATGCGTGTGTCTTATTCACACCGGACAAAAGGCTGTTAAGCACTTTGGTCAAGCGTGCATAAAACATGTCGCAAACTGACTGTTTCATACCAGCCTCATCGATACCGATGTTCTGTGACATACCCAGGTATCGGTATGTTTCAGCCTCGGAAAGGGTCCTTAAGTTGACGGGCATAGACAAGTCTATGCCCTCAGAGTTAGCAACCCTTCCCCTTTCAACATGGAGGACCGCACACTTATCCGTCCCCAGCTCCATTCCAATGGAACTGCTAAATTCACAAGTGATGTTTAGCAGTTCCATAAGATGGGAGCGACTGGAGGCGAATAACTTGAGGTCATCCATATAGAAAAGGTGGGTCACTTTTGTCCCTCCTCTCCGTAGCTGAAATCCCCTCCCGGAGCCCTCCAGTAAGGTACTGAGAGGGTTAAGAGAGAGGCAGAACCATATTGGACTCAGACAATCGCCCTGGAAGATACCCCTTCTTATCCTTATGTGGTTCTCCGCAGCCGTCATCCGCTCGCCCAGATGACAAAGGATCGTACTCCACTGCCCCATACACTGCTCGAGGAAGTCTCTAACTGTACAGTCAATCTTGTACAGCTCGAGGACCCTCTTTAGCCATGTATGGGGCACCGAGTCGAACGCCTTTCTGTAGTCTATCCAGGCGGCAGAGAAGTTCCGACGGTTGCGTTTCACCACTTTGCCTATGACCGCGTCAATGAGGAGTGGTTCCTTAGTTCCACGACCACCGCCCCGACATCCATTTTGAGCGCGTGACATCACCTGGTTTAGCTCCAGGTGACGAGTGATTCTCGCGCTCAAAATGGATGTCAGTGTCTTATATATGGTGGGTAGACACGTGATGGGGCGGTATTTGCTCGGGTCTGTGGTATCTTGATCTTTAGGAACCAAGTGAGTGATCCCAGTAGTGAAGAGGCTCGGGAGTGACTTCTGGTCGAGAGCCTCTTGAAACTGTCGGGCGAGCACAGCGTGACACACTACGAACCCCTTCAGCCAGTAATGATGCAGCCCGTCGAGCCCCGGACTTTTCCAGTTCGGGGCCCTACGGACCGCCTCAGCCACGTCTTCTGGCGTTATGGTGATGGGGTCCATAGGCGTAACACTCGCACCCTGGCTCGCCACAACTTCCATCCAAGGGCCCTCATTGTGATTTACGGGCTCTGACCACAGGCCACGCCAGAATGCGATAATGTCAGCCTGATCCGGTCCTTGGCCCGCTACACATACCTTTGGTCGCTCCAATAATTTATAGAGCCTCTTCTGATCACTCTGGAAGAGACGATTCTGGTTGAACCGCCTTGACCCCTCGGAAAATCGTCGAATCCGCTTCCCCCAAGCAGCGATCTTTTGCTTCAGGTCGTCTATGCGCTCCGTTAGTTTCTGCGTGATATCCGGCTGGGACAAACTGATATTTGTCCCAGCAAACGCCATCCTAACGGTGCGCATAATCCTCGGTCTATTATTACCCGACCTGAAGCTTGTCAGTCTGCCGATAAGGGCCCTTGCCTTTGCGATACAGTCCTCGATTCTTTTCCTCCAGGCTGGGATGGCGTTACTTTGTGTAGTAGCGCGTCCAGCCATGGGAAGTTTGGCGCCAATAATACGGCAAACTGCCACTGCGGCGCCAAAGAGAATCGAGTCCGTCTCGCAAAGGTCCCGGCTGGCTTCCAAATAGGTCACCAGCATTGGGTTAAGAGCCCTCACGACAGCCCGATTTCGCTTGCTTAAGGGTATGCGGGGAAGTCGCGGTCGGTTTTCGAGAGGGGTGCTGCGCGTTTCCAAAATCGCCTCTTCCAATATACTCCTCATTTGCTTTAGTTCGTGGGAGACTATTTCATCGTCGTTCGAATCAACCACAACTGGAAGATCCATGGCGGCTTCCACGTGTGGATGCTGGTCTGTCGAATGTGGAGCTGCATCTCCAGCCATAGCCGATTCATTCGACGACGGAATAGCCTCACGTCGTAGTCCTTCGAGTTCGGCATCATCAAATATTTTCGAGCGCATGATGTACCGAACTCGGTCTGCCAGGTTTTGTTCCGTGACGGGGATAGACGGCTCCAGCTCAGCAAAAAAGCAATGCATCCGAGACCTATACGCTATTCCCACAGTTTCTTCCCCCTTTCGCCCTATAGTACGCCCGCAATGCGTTTTCGTTCATGGATTTTGTCCAACGCATGCGACGTGCTCCACCAGCGGCGGGTGCCGCTTGCTGGGTCCGAGAAGACCCAGCCGACACCAAGCCTTCTGGTGGGGATGATGGATGCGAGGGGCTGCTAGGTGATCGTGCAGCTCCTCGCGCTCGGCTGGCGACCCGCATGCTGCCGCGTCCAGCGCCAGCTCCAGACGCGCCCCGGCGACCCCCAGGCAGCGGCCCTATGCGCGTTCCTTTTTGTGTTTCTTCCATCATCCTTATTATTATTATTATTATTATTTTTTTCTAGTAATAGGAGTCTCTAGTTCTCTACACTCACCGTACGAAACATATTTTATGCTGGTATCCTGTATGTAGACCGCGGTCCTTCTCCGGTCGATGGTGTCGGACTATGAGAGTAGGGAGGGCGCCTGTGCTTGCGCACACACTCGAAAACTATATTCCATTTCTGCGTAGATAGTTTGTCTCCGTTGAGCTTAATCGCTGTGACGAAATTCAGTCTGAACGTCATCATTATAATACACAATACATAAAATGTAAGGCATAAAGTAAGGCACAATACATAAAGTTTTTTTTTTTTTTTTTATAGAAGAAGGGGCAAACGAGCATGTGGCTCACCTGACGTTAAGTGTCTACCGCCGCCCATGATCAACCGCAACACCAGGAGAATTGCGGGTGCGTTGCCGGCCCTTTAGAAAGGAGTAAGCTCTTTTCTTGAAGGTCCCCAGGTCGTATCGGTCCGGAAAAATCGCCGGTGGTAAACTATTCCACAGAGAGGTTGTACGTGGAAAAAAACTCCTTGTGAAACGTACAGTGGTGGACCGCCAAGCATCCAGATGGTGTGGATGGTATCGGGACGTTTGACGTGTAGTGCGTTCACGAAATTTGGCGGCTGGGATTAATCCGAACAATTCCTCAGAGCACTCCCCGTGATAGATGCGATAAAATACGCAAAGAGATGCAACATCTCTTCGCAGCGCCAGTGAATCGAGCCGATCGGAAAGCACTCGGTCGTCGACGATTCGAGCCGCTCTGCGCTGGATGCGGTCAAGTGGAAGAAGCTGGTACTGGGGAGCCCCAGCCCAGAGATGGGAACAGTATTCCATGTGCGGCCGAACCTGCGCCTTGTAAAGTTGCAGGCGGTGTGCCGGCATGAAATACTGTCTCGCTCTGCTGAGCACGCCAAGCTTTTTTAGAGGCCAATTTGGCCTTCCCTTCCAAGTGACCACGAAACTGCACGTCACTCGATATGTCGACGCCGAGGATTCCGATACTGGCTGAGGCAACAAGGGGAGTGCCTTGAAACTGAGGGGATACGACAAAGGGGTTCTTTTTAGCGGTTAACGCGCAAACTTGTGTCTTCTGGGGGTTAAACTGGACTAGATTTAGTCGCCCCCAATCCGAGACTCTGTCCAGCAGAGACTCGACTTCAGACACAAGTTTGTCCCGGCACTCGGAGACGTTTTCCCGAGAAATATTGGCTCGGCCGGTGTAAAGAGCATCACCAGTGCTGTCATCTGCATAGCAATGAATATTACGGGTACGCAACATGTCACTGATATGCAGAAGAAACAGCGTTGGCGATAGCACACAGCCCTGTGGAACACCAGCATTAATAGGCTTGCAATCGGAGCTTGCACCGACTACAACGACCTTGATGCTCCGATCTGAAAGAAAGCTGGTGATCCAATTGCACAATTTCTCGGCAAGCCCGTAGGAAGGGAGCTTCGAAGGAAGCGCTTTGTTCCAAACCCGATCGAAGGCCTTCGCAATCTCCAAACTAACGGCCAATGCCTCCCGCTTGAATTCTACTGCCTCCGCCCATCTGTGAGTTAGGTAGACCAGAAGATCACCAGCTGACCGACCACGGCGAAAACCGTATTGGCGGTCACTAATCAGCTGGTGATCTTCAAGGTACCTCATGAGCTGGCAGTTTACAATGGACTCCATTGTTTTGGAGAACTAGGAGGTGATGGCGATTGGCCGGTAGTTGGACGGGTCAAAGCGGTCGCTTTTTTTAGGGATCGGGTGGACGTAAGCCGTCTTCCATGATTTTGGGACTACGCCTAGGGAGTAGGAGTACCGGAAAAGACGCGTTAAAACCGGTGCCAACTCTGGAGCACACGTCCTCAGCACAATTGGGGGGATTCCGTCAGGCCCACTCGACTTGTGGATGTCCAGGGAGAGGAGTGCTTTGCGAACCGAGCGCTGTGTGAAGTGCACTTCCTGCATGGAGCACTCACACCGCGGGATGGTCGGCGGAGTACTCCCCCCGTCATCGAGAGTCGAGTTAGACGCAAAGAAAGAGCCTAGAAGATCGGCTTTCTCCTTTGCGGTACGGGCCAGTGAGTCGTCCTCCCTGTGCAGAGATGGAAGAGATGGCTGACAGAAATTCCCCTGGACAGCCTTGGCGAGAGACCAGAATGTACGGGTTCCAGAAGGAAGGCGAACTAGTTTCTCGCCAATTCTGCCTATGTGCTCTGACTTTGCCTTGGCAATGACTCTTTTGAAGGACCTAGAGGCGGAATTATACTTCTTTTTAGAGCGCTGGTGTTAGTAAGTATAGAATAACCTGAAACCCTTTTACTGGTAACGAGGCATCGTCTGCATTTTGATTCATAATAACAATAAGCTGTAGGTATCTACGGGCCACAGCTTGTTATCAAATAACAAGTAAACTGTGTTCATGTTTGTCAAGCTTTTACTTGTATAAAATCTCTCTATTTAAAAATCAATTGCTGTCTGTTAGTCTGGCTAAAACTCAGAAACAACCGTCCCTGGTTGGTTTAGTTTTACAAGTGGACTCGGTAGATGGCGCTGTTTTTGGAAACCCCAAAATCACCCGTGCGATGCTAAATTGCGGATCGCTACCACCCTTACAAAAATTGAACTATGAAATTATAGTTTAAAATATAGGTAGTACGTAGATGCTTGGCATTTCAGAAAGAATTAACTTAATAGCCCTAACATCCAAACTTGATATTTTTTCCGATTTATATCTTTATAGCAAGTTATTTTTAAAGTTATTTTATACCGGCTTGAAACTTCAATAGCGTAATTTAAGCTTCAGATCGTTTCGCTTTTGGCGCGTTTTCATTTCATTTGAATTTATCATTGTATTTGTATACACTAATTTATTGTTTGCTTCTTCTTATTTGTCGTCTTTATCAGCCTATAAGAATTCACTACTGGACAGGGGACTCCGTTGTTATGGGATAGGTTTGTCTGATTCACAATGCTGCGCAGGCAGATTGGCAGGCATTGGGGCAGCGCGGTGGAAATTTCCTGCAGTAAGACGTATATATGTGGTAACTTCAACTATCACCAGCTGTAACTACAAACCCTAAGCTTGAAAATTGAGCGCATTGCTTCTATGCAATTCAATTTTAAAGCAAAAAGTTGGTATAGATATTTATAAGGTTTTTTCGGTCAGTGAAGCAGTGTATGAAGAAATGTATTTCAAACAAAAATAAATAGAAAGGATATGAGAACAAGAAAGAAATGAAATAATCAAAGTAATTAAAAATGGTGTATGAAGTGAAACTACATACACCATTTTACTACATAAAAATGTGTAGTATGACACATTTTAATGTGTAGGCTAGGTTATAAAGGTTAAATTCAAAATTAATAAAATAAAACTTTATTTCAGTTATTATAACGTAATATTTTGGTCTAGCTTAGTTTATGTCAATAGTAAAATTATAGAGATTCTAGTAACTAGTCTTTAAATTAACAATATAAAATGAAAAAAAAAGGAATTTATTATAAACATTCCGACGAGTTACTATAAATTATAAAATAAGTATTTACAAAAGAACATGAAACATAGTTAATAATTTTAAGCAACGGTACCTATATAACATAAGTTATCTTTATATCGAAGTTCAAGGCGAAACAGAAAGAATTTGGAAGATTACTCGATAAGGGTAAAACAACAAAATACGATTAAGAGTTATTCTTTGAGGAAACAATCTGTTTCTTGTCTACTCATCCCGGTTTTGACGTGATAAGCATTAGGATCGTGTTTAAGGTTAGCTCTTTATGATGGGCTGCGAGCTATTATTTATATATTTACATATTTATGTATTTAATATCGTTATTGTTGATCCAATTTGTCAATGTTACATTGACAAATTAGATCAACAATAACGATAGACGTACATAACAAGTGACGCAAAAACTGCTCGAGTTTTTGATATCGCTCAGACGAAAAAACGACATGCGCATGTAACGTAAAGAGTTATCATCGGTTTCTGTTTGACTTCAGCGTCTTTAAGTTGAGACAATTTGACATATTTAGGATATTACATACTTAAATACATCTTCATAGAGTGGAAAAGGTGTAAACATGTAAAACTAAAAACTAAATTTAAGATCTTATTTTTGCATTTGAAAATAGTTTGTATTCAGGCAGTGCCCAGGTTATTTAGTTTTTTTTTTTTGTAGTAAATAATCTTAAAACATTTTAAAAATATTTTTGGATCAGGTCTTCTTTAAAGCGGCTTGGTGGTAGAAAAGCCAAGCGTTTGCCACTACCGAGCTATTTAGCGTAGCTGTGGTCCGCGAATTTGAAACTCGTACAGAAAAATTATTGCTATAATAACCTATGAAAAAGGTCCGTGTCTGGACATTAGTCCATGTGCAGTCTATGGATGTTAAACGCCTCCATGATACAGGAAAAATAAGACGAGGGTAATGAAACGTATACATTGTGGTAGTTTAGGAGCTAAGCGCTTGCAGTAAATTCACAGAACGCGAGCAACACAAATTTGATCGGCGCTGGTATTAAAAGTTTAAATTGCAATTTTAAGTGCTGATTTCCCACGTACTTGTAAAAGTTCCACCGTTGAGCACAGGTCTCTCATTTCTGAGAGGTTTATTGAGCAGTCAGTCCGCAGCGCTGCTCCAGTTGATGGATTTCACATAC